GCAGAAATTCCTACTCAGCGGGAGGGGTGGGGGAGGTATGGCGGAGTGGTGGTGGGCGGCCCGAGGGGGTGGGAGAGGGTCCGGCCCATGCTGCACCTGGGCTGGGACTGGTCCCGCCGGCGCAGGGTAGCAGGAAGCTCTCCACACACTCACCAGACCTGGGCTAGTACTGGGTCTAGTGATCAACTATTTGTAGGAGATAGAAGTAACTTTAGGTGGAACAGGAACTCTCACCTGGGCAACTAAGAAACCGAAGTATACTGGTATACGTGGAGGTGTGTTTTCTGTTACACTCTCCATACTGTGGGCCTCAGGAATCCCGGCCCATCAGGCTCCCTGGTTCACAGATGGAGCTCACTGCACTGGAGGATTTTGCTACGGTTTGAATGTGTCCCCCAAAAGTTTGTGTTGGAAACTTAATCCCCAAATTCATGTTACTGGTGTATGGCGGTGGTACTCTTGGCAGGTGATCAGGATGGCATAAGGTCTTGAGGGTTTCCCCTCCCAAGATGGCATTCATGCCTTTTTTTTTTTTTTTAACATTTATTTATTTATTGTGTGTGTGTGTGTGGCCAGCTCAGCCCACCAGGGGGCGGGGCTGGCTGGCATGTGGTGCTGGGGGATTGAACTGCGGTTCCTGTGCTTTGCCAAGCTTGTTCCAAGTAGGTGCTTTAGACCACTGAGCCATCTCACTAGCCCCATTCATGCCTTTGTAAGACAGACTCAGACCCGCACACCTGCCCCAGCCCGCCACCTGCAGACGTCCTCTCCATGTTCTAATGCAGCAAGATGGCCCTGTCCGAGGCTGCACCCTGCTCTTGGACTTTCTAGCCTTCACTGTGAGCTGCATGTCTTTATAAATTAGCCAGTTTGTCTGTTAGTTGCAGCACCTGAAAACAGAAAAGACTATTTTTCTGTATTCATTCATGGAGTAGCTTTGAAGCAATACCACAGAAGGAACAGGAACAAGCCAGAACAAAGTGGTGCTCAGAGATAACTTTGAAGATCTTCTTGCCAACCAGAGCTGGGCCCAGCTTCCACTGGTTGGGCATTGCCACGGGCCTGGCATATTTTAGAGACTGTGCTCTACCCTTGGCCTGCTCTCCCAGGATGAAGAGCCCATCAGGGAGGAAAAGAGAAGCAAAGGAGCAGTGCAGTTCTAGGTCACAGCTAGCGAGCTGGTGGGAGAGGGAACAACGGCAGCCAACTTCCTTCCCCACAGGAGAGGTGACGTCCAGAAACAGAAAAGAAGAAATGCGGTCACTAGCTGCTGTATCTGTTCCTGTCTTCTCTGGCGCTACTCTAGCAAATAACCTGGTGGGGGTGTGAAGGGTGGGATATACTTTAGTATTCTCTCCCAGCACCAGCAGTGAGGCCAGCAGGAGTCACCGAGGCCAACACATAGACTCCATGGGCCTGGGAGCAGGCAGGCAGGCATTTCTACATCAGGGAGAAGCTGGTGGACCCATTTGCTTTTTTGACCCATTTTGCAGGGATTCACTCAGGGAATTGGAGTTTTTATTCAAAAGAGGAAGGTGAGGGGCTGTTGAGATGGCTCAGTGGTCTAAAGCACCTACTTGGAACAAGTTTGGCAAAGCACAGGGACCGCGGTTTGA